CATTAGTGTGTCTGTCTCTTCCTTCCTTCTTTCCTAAGTATCCTACTTCATTGCAAGCCCACTCTAATTGATTAACTTTCTAACCTTCTCTCTCTCTCTCTCTCTCTCTCTCTCTCTCTCTCTCTCTCTCTGCCTTTCTCTGCCTTTCTCTGCTTGTATTAATGTGAAATGTGATCATTAATTAATTCCTTTTTATTCTCTATCCACTGATTGTTTGAATGTTTATCCTGTTTCTAGATAATAATCTTATTTTATAAACTGTCTCTTCATTTCTTATAATATTGATATTGGCCCATTGTTATAATAATGCATTTTTAACTTATGAGGAATTAAATTAATTTTTAAAATGTGTACATGTACATGTATGTGATGTTTCTTTTATATTAAATTGCTAAGGCAGGAAGATTTGCTTTCATTGTCATTTGTCGCTATTTGCGATAATAATTAATGACAATTAATTTATTATCACCTATACAGTCTGTCCCATTAATCATCATCAGAGCTTACCTCGTGAATTTGATTAATTGCTAATAATCATTTTATATTTCCTAATTAATCAAAATCCTATGTACACGTACACGTACATGCATGAATTATGCCCTGTATAGATGTACATGTTCATTCTACATGTATATGTGTATTTCTTTTATTTGTGTACATGTACATGTACATGTACATGTACATGTACATGTACATGTATCTTACATGTAATTGACTTGTACGTTGTCTACATTTATTGTGCATACATGTACTATATCTCATTCATTCTATGTGTGTTTAGTATGTCTCTTTGTTATGTACACTGTGTATAGGTAGGACAGAGACATGGTGGCATAATGGGTGTAGTACAAGTGGCTTGTTCTCTAGCTCAGGAACACATCTGGTTTGAGAGGAAGATTGCCTCAGACAGACGCATGGTGGCCAGCAGGTAAGTGGCTCTGACACTTAACTTAAAGTGGCTCTCACTCTAAGTGGAACACTTGACTGTCTTCAGCATTAGTATTTGTTATTATTATTATTATTAAAGGCGGGCTATGGTGCATATACTATAGAGTATTCAGCTGTTCATTGTCATTATGATATGCTATTGGTATTATAGTATGCCCGTTTGGTTGGTATAAAGTACATATTAATAAAGAGTTGGTGTGTGTGTGTGTGTGTGTGTATACATGTACATGTATATGTATATAGCATTTTGTTAGCTACTTTTGTGGTATTTGAGTGGCATGTACTTAGAATCAGCCTAAGAACTAATGTACATATATAAGTGTACACACTCACTCCCTATGTACATAATCCCCTTACCCCCCCACTCTTGGTGAGAGGGTGTGGGGCAATGTTGAGAGGAAGGGCTGGCCTGTGTACATGGTGGGTCTCTTTGCTCTGACCTCTTATGATATAACCACACCTTCCCCAGCTTTTAATAAGGCTGAGAGACCAAAGCCACTTGACTGCTCCTCCTTCTGGGAGGCAGTCATTGGCCACATCAGGGCCTTCTTATGAAGTTTCTAAAGACAGCTTCCCTACAGGTTTTGTATATACTTGTTGGACTATATCAGCCTTAATTCTTTCCTATACCAGCCTTTTGGGTCTTGATAAGATAAACTAGTATACATAAGCTGTGCCTTTGCCTCTGAGCTAAATGAGTCCTGTATGTGACAGAGGTGGACTGTGGTCAAATCACACTTTTGTAGACCTTGCCTTGTGGTAAATCTTTCTAGATTTTTCTCTCTTTCTTTCCCTGTGTCCTCATTTTTTCTTTTAGGCTAAAAGAGTTTCTGAGCAATCCTATGAATAATCCTATATTAATATTTCCCGAAGGTTTGTGACTCTCTCTCTCTCTCTCTCTCTCTCTCTCTCTCTCTCTCTCTCTCTCTCTCTCTCTCTCTCTCTCTCTCTCTCTCTCTCTCTCTCTCTCTCTCTCTCTCTCTATCTCTCTCTCTCTCTCTACATCCCTTGCCCTCCACATTCTTCATATATTACTTCCTCATTCCTCAATAATGTGTTTGTGTATTGTTAGCTTCATTCCCTCATTAGCATTTTAATGGTACATACTGTATACCTCCATCCCTTTGTCCATCCTATTTTTGATAATTGAAATACCTCGCATAACTTTAAGCATTGTTATGAATTTTTCTTCTAATCAATCTTTGGGTTTAAGTTCTGCAGCTGTTAGCCTCTCTATTATTGATGTGTCACATTTTGTGCCTTCCTTCTTTCCCTTGGGGATTAAGTCATACTTGCTTTAGAGAGCAACTGGTATGCATGCCAGTGCCTATTACTCCTCATTTGTTGCTATGTAAATGCTCACTTAGACATAATGCTACATCTTAGTATGTACACATGTATATGTGATACTTCATATAGTCTAAGTGTGGCAGTGTGGGCTAAATGGTGTAAACATTAGGAGTACTTCAGACACTTATGCACTCAAGTGTGCAATTAAAACACAGACATAATGATGAAGGCACTCTTTGTCTTCTTTCTCTTCTGGTTATCATTTCCTACCTCTCTTTTTCACCTCTTTCTCTCTCACTCAAACTCTCTCTCTCTCTCTCTCTCTCTCTTTCTTTCCAGGTACATGCATCAACAATACTAGTGTTTTCATGTTCAAGAAAGGGTGTTTTGAGTTAGGGGCCACTATCTTTCCAGTTGTGATCAAGGTACATGTATAAACATCATTATCAGTTCATCTGTGGTATTGTGGTAATATGCTTAACCAGTCTGCCTTGTGAGAGAGAGTAGGCATAGATAGGATTACATAATGACTGGAAGTGAGATATGGTCCTTATTATCAAGTATAAGGAGATCAGAAGAGGCTTTGTCCCTCTGTTCACTATAGCTTTAAAGTGTTGTGGCTAAGCATGTGAGCATTTGTGGTAGGTGTACAATCTTCTATTGGGAGGGAGACTGTGGCTTCTTTGCAGCTGTCTTTAGACTCTTGCATAACTAATTGTTCCACTACTTTCTCTTTCCTCAAAAATGACACACACACACACATTCGGTTACTTCATCTATTGCTCTCTCTCTCTCTCTCTTAGTATCACAGAGAATTTGCTGATCCTTATTGGAATTCACAGGAACAGAGTATGGTGACGTACCTAGCTATGCTCATGACAAGCTGGGCCATTGTCTGTGATATTGACTACCTCAACCCAACAACACTAAAAGTGAACGCCATTCTTTATACATGCACATGAAGTACTGTACTAGGCATCAGTACTACATGTAATTCTTAGGATATGGCTCGACTATAGTTGCCCTTTTATTTTTCCTTTTTCTTAGGAAGGAGAAACTGCAATTGAGTTTGCAAACAGAGTCAAGGCAGATATATGTAGACGAGGTGGTCTAGTTGATTTACCCTGGTAAGGGAGGGCTTTTAGGCAATAAAGACATCCTCCTTTTATTTGTTCCAGGGACGGCATGATAAAGAGGCCAGCAGGCACAGAGAGCTACCTGAACAAGCTGATTGAGGAAGAGAGGAGGACATACTTAGAGGAGCTTCTTGATAAAGAGGACAATGAGAGTGATGACGATGAAGGCGGACTTGTCATGAGAGCAAACAGAGACAGGGAGAGACAGTAAAGTCAACAAATGATTATAACACACACACAAAATAATAATAATAATAGTTCTTATTATTATCATTCTCTTGTCTTCTTTTAATTTGATTTTTTGATCTCAATACATCATGCATTATGAATCTCAGCCCCACCACGTGGTCCACAATGTGGTTAGTGATAAATGAGTCGTGTAATGATGAAAAAGGCCGCGGGATGGACTGCTGTGATTTAAGAGGCTTCACCAGAGGCTATTTTATACACTTTTGCCTATAAAACTGTTTGGTTTGCCACTTCAGCAGGCAAAGTGTAATCTTCTCCAATGCAAGCAAAGGGCGGCCATTCATGAGTGGTGTCCACTTAACTTGGAGTGCAGGAAACCCCATGATATCCGTACGTTTAAAAATAAAGCTCCTTAGCAGTACCGGCTGTTGAGTCTCGTTCTCACTGGTCTCTTTCCACAACTCTCCTCTTCTCTGACAACCAAGCAAGCATCATGAGCTCTGGAAAGAAGAAGTCTTTTATGATATGCGACATTCTCGATGATATTTACACTTCAGACAGTAGCAGGCCGAGTAGCACAGAGCTACAAGTTCATCCCCACATAGTTCACAGCAGCAGTGTTATCTACACTGCCTCTGCTGCTCCTAGCCATATTGAAGGAGGGCTAGTCGGTGGAGAAGGAGATGAATGCTCCCCAGGGACAGATAGCGGGCTGGGAGACTGCAAACCAGAGGCAATCAGACCAGAGAGCCCAACTCAACACGAGCCGGACTCTCCTTCATCCAGTCAGAGCAGTGAGCAAGGTAGGTATGCATGTATTTTTATGAAGATGCAAGCTCTACAGCAGCAGCAGCAGCAGTAGCATTTTGATTTTGAATTGCTACTGTGCTCTGTATGATACACGTGCCATCAGCTTGTAAAGAAAGATAAAGCTTCCTATCTATCATTATCACTGTTACATGTATGATTCTTTCTCTCTTTTGCAGGCTCAACTGGTGCTGCAAAGACAAGGAAGAGACGCCCTCGGGGCTTGTTCTCTCACGCTCAGATATATGAGCTGGAGCGTCGGTATGCACTACAGAAATACCTCACAGCCCACGAGAGAGAGCAACTGGCCAACATGCTGAGACTAACGGAAACACAGGTCAAGATCTGGTTCCAGAACAGACGCTATAAAAATAAGAGACAGCAACTGGAAAATGCGAGATTATCTCCAAAGTCTGCTGTTGCTGCTTGCTCAAAGACCTCAGATCTCTTTCCTTCTGCCATCCCTCCTCCTCCTCCATTACACAGCATTGCTGCTGCTCCTAGTGACATCAAGCTACCATCCACAACTCCAGCCTTTCCTGTTAACAGTCCCTTGTCCTTGAACCTTACACACGCACCTCCATCTGCCCTCCCCATTGGCGTTGTTGCAACATCTCTCATTACCCCATCTGGTACTCAATCTCCGTTATACTCCATCACCGGCCCTCCCCCATCTCTGCCTCCTCCCTCTGACTATAGCTTCAGATATCCTTCGGGCCATCCTCCTCCTATCATGAATATAAAGTCAACTCCGCCTTCACTGCCTAAGTCAATGTACTACCCTGCAGTAGCAGCTGCATATGGTGGGTCTGTCACTAGTGTAAATGCTACCATACCATCAGGGAGTTATGTATCTTCAATATGCTCTTGTACAACTATGCCTTATCAACCCTTACCAAGAGTTCCTTCACCTGCTACCTCAGTGACGTCAATTAGAAGTCAGTATTAGGGCACAATTTATTTTCTACTCTCTCTCTCTCTCTCTCCCTCTCCTTTCTCTCTCTCTTTCTCTCTCTCTTTGCTTTAATGCCAATGTCACTTGTGTATTATAGAATTAATAGATGCACACCAATAGCTCAACCCAATGAGATACCGTTTCGTTCATTATGCGTTGTTATTATTATTATTTTTTGTTATTTTTGTCTGGTACTTAAATCACTTCAAATTGTTTTTTTTTCATGTCTCATTTAACCAAGAAATTCATCCATTTAATCGATTGTTTGTAATTGTCTGTTCTCATTTTATTCCTCAATTTGATTTATTTTTTTGCTGATCTCTTAAAATTAAAAAAAAACATTATTTATGATCGTAATATTATAATTATTTATCATGATTTATAGACAAATTGAAAATTATATGAATGAATCATTATTATTACTATTATAATTTCGTTAATAATTTATTAATAATTATTACTATTTTTGTACAATAATATCTGTTTTGTCAACTCTTATTTGTAATAACAAGTGATTATGGAATCATTCAAGTGATTAAAATTATGTAAAAAAATAGCCCACTGCTGCACTGTACGGTTATGATCAGTAACACAGAGACACTAGAGAATTGTTATTCACGGAAAATTCACATTATTATACGTAACATATTGAATCAACAACAGGAGGTCAACAAGTTACTAACACTCTGCAAAGTTTATAAATACTCGACATTCTCCAGGAATGGTAACCACCTAGCTAGGCTTCACTCTCTCGTCAACAACCAGTACACAGCGAAAGAACAACAGAGGCTGGTGGTAGGGACACATCACCTGCCTGGTATATATAATATGAAAGCAAACTAAAGTCATCATACCAGAAGAGCTTTCACATTCTGCTGCTTTGGATCATTCAGGCTTGGCTGATTCCTCTCATTTTCAAGTAGCTATCCCTTCCTTTCTCATTAAATTTGAAGAGTATCAGATTAAAAGTAAATCATGACTTCTCGTGGATTGAACAGCAGACCACGTTCAAAGACAGATCATCAAACATGGACTCTTCCTAGAGGAGCAAAGACTAGCCATCCAGGACCAGGAATGACCTGGGCACAAGATGACATGTCAGCCTCATCACTAAAGAGATCTTACATATCAAATGGGCCAGCAAGGCCAGCACCACTTCCCCCAATTAGGGCCTCCTCGATAAAACCAGTCAGGAAAGCACCCCCACCACCTACAGCTGGGAGCAAGACTGTTAAAAAGTCATCACCAGTTACTAGTTATCCACTAGAGCCACCTCCCGTTCCTTCATCTCCCAGACCAACTATAGCAAGGCATAGAAGTGTCCTTGAGTCTGAATTGCACTCTAAATCCTTACCACCCAGTCCACAAGGAAGCAGCACCATGCTTGCTAAGAAACAGCATGTACCTCTAGCTGCTACTAGTTCACTCTTGAGCTTCTCTCCTCCTCCTCCTCCTTCGCCCTCAGATTGCGAAGAACTCTACGAGTTGACACCATCATTCAAGATGAAAGATGACTCTCCACCTCCTCTACCAAATCGACCAGTTTCTGTTTCCTCAAGACCTTTATCAGCATCATCATTAGACAGACCCCCACCTCCACCTAAAACTAATCCACCAGGACCTCGTCCTCCTCCTCCCCCTCCACCCCCTCCTGCTCCTATCCCCCAGTTACCTCCAAAACCAGATAAATACAAGAATTATATAGAATCGCTAGAGGACAATAACGGCGGATATTGTGATGTCGATTCTGCTGTCCAGTTGAAGGCAGAGTATGAGCTTGCACAGAAAGTAAAGCAAGCAATGCCTATTGAAGTAAAGGCTCCTTCTCCTCCTCCATTTGTGCATAAACCAGAAGAGGAGTGTGAAGAAGATGTATACGAGCAAATGAATAGTCATATTGTTGAGGACGACTACATTGTAATGTCACCAGTTAACACGCTTGTGCTCCCGAAAAAGAAAAAAGATAAAGAACTGTCTGATAGCATTGTTCCGGAACCAGGGGTTCCTGTTTTGCCCCCAAAGCCTCGTCAGTTGCACTCTGCCAGTAGTCAAGTAGCCATTGCAGCTTCTTCTCCTAATGCTTCTAGTGAAGCAAGGCAAAAATCACCAAAAAATGGTCCAAAACCAGGTCCAAAACCTGGTACTAGTTCTAATGAAGCAAAGAAGAGAAGTTTGTCTCAAAGATCATCAGCTCTTTGTCTACCCACTGATCATCCAAGCACTCCAGTTGGTCTATTAAAGACGGTCCCAAAGAACAAGACATCAGCACCTCATTTTCCTCCTCCTTCTCCTCCTCCTGCCTTCTCTTTTGGACAAGTCAAAGTACTGCCTAAAAATAAATCCTCGGCTCCACATCTTCCACCACCCACTCCTTGTCAAGAAGAAGAGGAAGAAATCCAAGAGGATTATGGACCAGTGAAATACAGCATTGAGGATAATGAGAGCAAAGATGAAGATCAGGATCTTTATGTTTAGCAGGAAGCAAGGAGAAAGAAGTGAACTTATTGTATCCAGTGTTATTGTTGTTTGTGTTTGTTGGTCATAATATTTTTGATGTGATCATTTTTGTTTTTATAATCATAGAGGAAGTTTTATAGTGTCACATGTTGTTCAACGAGAAGTTTACAAAAATATCACTGTCTATAAATATAAATAGCAACAATGTTATACAGTGTTGCTCATAGTGGTGGAGTTAGCATGCTACATCATTTCATTATAGAAATAACTTTTGAAAATATCAAGTCATTTTTCAAAATTTAATGTATCTAGCAATTGACTTCATAATTATATCAAGAATTATTTTTATTACATTTTTTGATGCGTATAAATGTTGCAAGTCACATTCAACAAAGCTAGGGTTGATTTTCAGAGTAAATGTGTATTGGAAAATGTGATAAAAATTTAGGGTGACTTTGGAGCTATTTTTTGAAAAAAAAAACCATAGGCTAAAGTACAGGGATTTTTTTCAGAATTTTGACATTTTCTTAAAATGGCCGTAACTTAAAAAATTGAAGTCGGAATCAACTCAAATTTGCTACACAGCATAAGGACATCAATATGTATCAGAAAATGTAATAAAAATTTAGGGTGATTTCGGAGCCAATTTTTAGAAAAAACCATGGGCTATAGCCTTGGGTATTTTTCAGAATTTTGACGTTTTCTTAAAATGGCCATAACTTGAAAAAATAAAGTCGGAATCAACTCAAACTTGCTACACAGCTTAAGGACATCAATATGTATAAGAAAATGTAATAAAAATTTAGGATAATTTCGGAGCCAATTTTTGGAAAAAACCATGGGCTATAGTACAGGGTATTTTTCAGAATTTTGACGTTTTCTTAAAATGGCCATAACTTGAAAAAATGAAGTCGGAATCAACTCAAACTTGCTACACAGCATAAGGACATCAATATGTATAAGAAATTGTGATAAAAATTTAGGATAATTTCGGAGCCAATTTTTGGAAAAAACCATGGGCTATAGCCTTGGGTACTTTTCAGAATTTTGATGTTTTCTTAAAATGGCCATAACTTGAAAAATTGAAGTCGGAATCAGCTCAAACTTGTTGCACAGCATAAGGACATCAATATATATCAGAAAATGTGATAAAAAATTGGGTTGATTTTGGAGCCATGTTTTGGAAAAAAACCATGGGCTAAAGTACAGGGATTTTTTTCAGAATTTTGGCATTTTCTTAAAATGGCTGTAACTTGAAAAATTAAAGTCGGAATCAACTCAAATTTGCTACACAGCATAAGGACATCAATATGTATCAGAAAATGTAATAAAAATTTAGGGTGATTTCGGAGCCAATTTTTAGAAAAAACCATGGGCTATAGCCTTGGGTATTTTTCAGAATTTTGACGTTTTCTTAAAATGGCCATAACTTGAAAAAATAAAGTCGGAATCAACTCAAACTTGCTACACAGCTTAAGGACATCAATATGTATAAGAAAATGTAATAAAAATTTAGGATAATTTCGGAGCCAATTTTTGGAAAAAACCATGGGCTATAGTACAGGGTATTTTTCAGAATTTTGACGTTTTCTTAAAATGGCCATAACTTGAAAAAATGAAGTCGGAATCAACTCAAACTTGCTACACAGCATAAGGACATCAATATGTATAAGAAATTGTGATAAAAATTTAGGATAATTTCGGAGCCAATTTTTGGAAAAAACCATGGGCTATAGCCTTGGGTACTTTTCAGAATTTTGATGTTTTTTTAAAATGGCCATAACTTGAAAAATTGAAGTCGGAATCAGCTCAAACTTGTTGCACAGCATAAGGACATCAATATATATCAGAAAATGTGATAAAAAATTGGGTTGATTTTGGAGCCATGTTTTGGAAAAAAACCATGGGCTATAATAGTACAGGGATTTTTTCAGAATTTTGGCATTTTCTTAAAATGGCTGTAACTTGAAAAATTAAAGTCGGAATCAGCTCAAACTTGCTACACAAGATAAGGACATCAATATCTATCAGAAAATGTGATTAAAAATTGAGTTGCTTTCGGAGCCATTTTTTGGAAAAAACCATGGGCTATAGTACAGGGATTTTTCCAGAATTTTGGCATTTTCTTAAAATAGCTGTAGCTTCAAAAATTGAAGTTGGAATCAGCTCAAACTTGCTACACAGCATAAGTACATCAATATGCATCAGAAATTTAATTTAAAGAATTTGGGTGATTTTGGAGCCATTTATATAGCTTTGGATAGTTTTGACTAGTTTTTAAAATACTCATAACTCCAAAATTATTTGTCAGAAACACAATAGATCTACCATCACTATGTTTGAAACATTTATGGAAATTGGTTTTAAATGCATCTCCAACTTTTGTGTATAGTGTTAGAAGTTTGAATCAATTTTTACAGCAATGTTGATTAGATCTATAAGTTTATATATAAAAAACATTATCAACTTGTGTGGTTTTGTTCAGCAGTGCAGGGAGCTCCACCCTGATCTACTCTTCGTTGTTAGTTTTATTTTATATTGTCACTTGTAGACTAATTGTTGATAATAAGATGAAATATTTGAGCAATGACAAATAGAGTGGAGGAGGAGTAGAAACACAAAGGAGAAGAAGTTGCTGCAATGGCTGCCAATTATAGCGATATTAAGAAAAAGAAGAAGACTTCTGTACAGCAAGATGAAATTGTACAAACCACAAAGTCCAAAATCAAGCAGTTCCTTTCTCCTGGAAATTCTCAGCCCACACAGCAGGTAAAGTCCGCCCCCCAATCACCTGTAAACCCCACCAGGAGGAAAAAGGTTGTCTCTGTAGCATATTTAGATGAACTGCAAAAGCACATTAATGAAGCCCCCTCACGTTCAGCCTTGCCCTCTTACTCGGGGCCTCATCCCTCCCCTCGTCGCTCTCGCCCCACTCCTCCCCCGCCGTATAAATCTGCTCCTAATATTTTACACCCTGCTTCGCCTACTTCCCCTTCAATCCCTCCCAGAAGTACCATATCAAAGAAAGCTAATTTTAAAAAGGACAAAGGAATTTACGTCTGTCCCATTTCACCGCCAACCAAGGGGGCGTCCCCAACCAAGCCTCCTCCAATTAAAGTTAAGTCATTTGATAATCCACCACAAAAAGTCTCTTCGGCACCACCTCTGCGACGACAAGATGACATGACTAATAGTTTACAGTTGACCGGGCAAGGCATTCCAATTTCATCTGGTAATGTTCGCAAACAGTCAGCACATTCAAGTCGTAATCATGTATACGATGAGCTTCATATTGACAAGTCATGGAGGAATAAAGGAGGCTCACTGTCACTTGATTGTGGCCAGTTTTTAGATGATGGTTATGAGTACATCGATGAGTTTAAGAAGCTTCGTGGGAAACAAGGCACTGATCCTCTTTATAGCAATGTTACTGATGAGTATGATGACATTGAAGATGACTATGATGACATTGAATTGGTAAAGCAAAGGGATTCTAATGGATATCTTGTTCTTTGTAAGTCTCAATCAGCTGATAATGCTGAAGACTTTGAAGATGAAGATGACGATCCTTATTCATATGCAAGAATTGATGATTTCTTAGCAGAAAAAGGAGAAACTGTAAAACCCAGTGATGATAAAGATGCACATTATAGTTATGAAGCTCTACACTATAGCCAGTTAAGCATCTAATAGAATCATAATGGTAAAATACATGCACATTTTTTGTTGGTAACTGTAACAATTGATTTAATAAAATGACAGACTGTATCACATTAACTTCATTATCTACACTTGTTGTTATTGATATGCACTTTTAATTCATCAATGATTAATAAAAAATTAACTATCATAAGTATTAATTCATACCTGGCTAGGGGTAAATAAAATATTTCAGTCATGTCTATGCACCTGCTCCTCTGCATGTAGTTTCCACTACTGGAATGTGTATCCTCTGGCTTGATGATGAGGAATATAAGCCAGAAGCATCTAATGACAAGATGATAAACAAGATTAAAAGACCCATGCACATGGCAGAGCTAATTTGTGCACCATTGTTATGCCATGGTGATCTCTCTCTTTATAGTTGAAGCTCCTTAATAGATGTAGTTTATCAATTATATTCCTTAGCAGAGCTTTTAATTGCATGGTGAGCAAACAAAAATGTGGTTGCATTATTGTGGGGGCTATGGTTGCTAGAAATGCCAAACAGTGATTGGCTGGCTCTTTGTAAGCCAGCTAGATTTGCATGCTTCAAATATTTTAGCTAAAGGATGGAAAGTTCTTTATTAAAATTCCGAGCCACACCCACTCCATGAGTGAAAGCTACTGATGTATAAAAATAGTGCAGTTCCAAAACCACTGCAGCTTTGATGTTCTTTATATAAAGGAGATTCAAAACTACTATAAGACCCAGTACATCTACTGGAGGAGCACTATGATAGCAACAATGGATAGGCTTCCCTTCACTCAGCTCTTTCAACACGGTTATCTTGCCAGCACTACAACTAAGCCAAATGCTATGCCACTCCGTCCCGTCCCAATCCAGTCTCCCACAGTAGCTGAGCCTTATCCTATCATCAGCACTAGCTCCTCTAGTTATCACCATCACCATAATCTCCAGCAGCATCCATCCGACAACATGCCTTATGCAGTCCAAGCCACCACATCAGTCCCTGCAGCAGTTAGGCCAAGCTCTTGCTCGGCGGCTGCTGCAATCCAAAGCTCGCCTCCTCCACCATATCAAAGTGAGCTCCTTGATCCGAGGGAGCAGAGTGCTGCTGCCTACCTGACAAATAGCACATTAGCTGGAGGTGTCCAGACTGCATCAATGATGCCTATTTCCAGTCACCCTCCATCACTCCATTCGTCCCCTCACTGTCTCTCTCTTCCGATCATGGCCAGAGAGCCACCAGGTTCAGCTGGTTTGGATCCTAATACTGGATTTCCAAAAGTTTCATCACCAACGATCCATACTCCTGATGGCAGCCAATCAGGTAAATATATACACTAGCACAAGCTCATTGTATTTATAAATACATTGAGTTTTGCTAAAGCTATGCCCCATCTGCATGTCTGTTATGTTTATCATCATCCCTTTTACCACTGAAGTGCATAATCATTCTGAATCAATTTTCATCAGCCGGGATTAGTTCTCCGATTACACTTTTTTAATGCGCCTTTAGTTTGTTGTTTTGTTGAACTCTAGCATGCATTAGTAACTCTGGTGACAACCACATCTCATGGAGTAATATTCTAATATACTGTAGGTTGCTTTACAAACATGTGGTGGTATTGCTCAATCACACACATCACTTATTTGTCTTCTAGTGGTTACCCCTCTCTTGTAATTTACATTACTTCCTTCTCTCTCTCTCTCTCCTCTCTCTCTCTCTCTCTCTCTCTCTCTCCAGTTTCAGGTAGTCCTACAATTGGCCAAGCAAAGCTAAAGAAGCAGAAG